GAATTAGTGATGTAATCTCCCATTAAAGTCTTTAACTTAACATTAAAGTCTTTTTGTTAGCCTCCAGAAGCTGGTCAAATATAGTGATAACTGTTTGAACTGTTAAGAGGCAAGTCCAGGTCACCTTTAAAATTACTCCTAATATTGTCCATATCGTCCCCTCTGCCTCCTATTAGCACCTCACTTCCACACAATGAAGTTGTACCATCTTCCACATCCCAATCCAGTGTTGAATAGGAATTATATACGGAGGTTGCAAGGGGAGAAGAAGTAAGGTGAGAGGATTTACTCATGTTATCCATTGGCTGTAGAAACTCCTTTATTTTCGGTTGCTTAGAAGTGGTCCTATCTTGTTTATATCTTGACTTATCTTGTTTATAGTTTCCTCTCGGCTGATTTTCCAATATATGTCTCCTTTTAAACTTTCAAGTTCTTTTTTAATCTTACTTTAAGATTTTGCATCTTTAGCTGTTATTGGGAGGTATAGTTCTGTTTTCTCCATTAAATATCAGACTCAAGGGTCCTAAGAATATTTTTAAAACGATGTAATCTAAAAATCTAATTTTAAAAACTACAAAAATCTAAAGAACTTATTCTAAGTGAAACTATCAAAAGATCTAACTAGAATTATCTAAAAAAGAAAATTAAAGAGTTTAGGATAATGAAATTTATAAAAAACAGGAGCTTAAATAACGTGTGTTGCTCCTCCAACTGCTGGCTCACCTCCCCTTTATCCAAAATATTATGACTGGCTTGAGTAATTGTCTCATTAGCAGCTAGCCAAACTCCATAACGAGCCATTTTTTCTTGCATCTGTTTTAAATCACTTTTAAGCTCAGCCAGATCTTATTGGATTGGCTTCAAGACTTGTACCTGAACCAGGATTTCTTTAAACAAAGTATTAGAAGAATCCGCTTCCACCATCTTTCCCAGCTCAGCAGATAGTGGCACAGAAATTAAGCTAGCTGTTGAATGTTTGTGTCTAGCTGCCATTCCAATAGCTCATTAAAAACAAAAATATGTAATGAAAAGTTTTATTTACCTGATGATCAAAGCCTTTATCTATACAGTCCGATAATTCAGAAGTTTGAAAACACTTTGATCAGGGGAGAGGTGTGCAACTTGCAGCACCATCCCAAACTGGAAATCTCCAGTCCTTCTCCAGTAGTTGCCATTTCTTTATAGAATTAATGCAAGGCATTTCCATATCACTTCCATTCCTTAATTTCATAACGGGAGTTGGAAGATAATCTAGAGAGTAATGAGAATAAGGAGGGAAATCACTGCTTCATCATTCCCATGGAAAAGAGAAATAAAATAAATTGTTTGTATGCCATCCACATCCTTGTTTCATGTTGTGTGTATTTGAAAAAAATGTGGTTTCTCTGAAAGAGTGAGCTGAAAAGATGTCAAACCATTTTTTCCTCTTGAAAGGTTTGAAGTCACAGAAGCTAGGAGGCAAGGTAAGGAAGAACCTCCTGCAAATAGGGAACGATACTTATTTATTTATCATATTTATATAGCCACCCATCTCACACAAGGTGATTCTGGGCGGCATACAACAGTTAAAAAAATAAATACATAAAAACAATTACACATTAAAAAAACTGCCCACAAGCTCTAAAGATCTGTTATAATGATTTTTTTAAAAGACCAGTTTTACAATGGTTTCAAGTATAACTAAGAAATAAATCATCTTAGCTTGGAACATAGCCAACATCAAAGATCGCAAAACTTCAGACCTGAAAGTGGCTATAATCTCACTTTGCCTACATGCTGTCAAATCTATCCTCAGCTTTGGGCAGCTCTTTTGTCCTACCTATATCTTTTTCTGCGGTGAGAATATTCCAAAATATTCTATACTTACAGTCATGTGAAAAAGAAAGTATACCCTCTTTGATTTCTATGGTTTTACATATCAGGACATAATAAAAATCATCCGGTCCTTAGCAGTTCTCAAAAGTAGGTAAATACAACCTCAGATGAACAACAACACATGACATATTACACCATGATTCTATACTTACAGTCATGTGAAAAAGAAAGTATACCCTCTTTGATTTCTATGGTTTTACATATCAGGACATAATAAAAATCATCCGGTCCTTAGCAGTTCTCAAAAGTAGGTAAATACAACCTCAGATGAACAACAACACATGACATATTACACCATGTCATCATTTATTTTACAAAAAGAAAGCCAAAATGGAGAAGCCATGGGTGAAAAACTAAGTATACCCTTATTGTTTCCATAGGTATGAAGAGGCTAAGTAGCAGCCAGGTGCTGCTAATCAAATGCCCTTGATCAATTAATCATCAACAAGTATGACTACCTCAGTAACAGGCGAAGTTCTAGGAGTTTGCTGGTCTTGACCACTGAGGTGTGTATTAACACAATGCCAAAGAGTAAAGACATCAGCAATGACCTTAGAGAAGAAATTGTTATTGCCCATCAATCTGGGAAGATTCTGTTATAAGCTAATAAAGGAGCTGAACTGATTCTGGACTGTCTTGCTGTTGTTCTTGGGCTGAATCTGACATCAATCTCGCCAGACTAATTCTAATCCCCAACAACAGCAACTATAACCATGATGCCCTTAGGG